TTTTTTTTTTTTCTTTTTCTTAAGCCTCCTCAAAGCGTGATAAAATTAAATTCTCGAGAACGGAAGAAAGTTGAACAACTTGATAGTATTTAAGGGAATTTTTAAAGGAATTTCTTTATCTGCAGAATGGCGCCAGGCGAATGGGACAATCCGCATCCGTGCAACCCGGATCCGGAGGAATTGGAAAATAATTTCGACTTGAAAAACTCCATGTGGCTCACCGTCGGCTCCCTCATGCAACAGGGATCCGATATACTTCCCAAGTAAGTCCGGATCGGCAAACTTAACGAAGCACCTATGCAACCTCAACCTACCTTACACTCGCGCGATAATCGCGAAACGGAAGCCGCAACAGTGCCCCCAAAGAGATGCAACCATATCTGTTTTACCTCGCGCAATTACTATTCCGGAATTACTCGTGAAAGTTCTAACGAAATTCTAGCGTTCCATTTGCTAATCGCCCGGATTATAAATTCAAAACGGAAATTTTAACTTTAGTCTCTGGTAGATGCTTCCTTCCGAGCAAAATTGAGAAATTATCCGACGGAAACCTTCGATCGTTTGCTCGAGATAGAAAAAAAAAAAAGAAAAGAAAATCGTGGATATAGAGAAAAAGGGAATTATCCAAATTATCCAAAGAATTTCAAATTTACAATAGCGATATTTTATTAAATCCGCTACCTCGACCCCCTCTATCGCGAAAACTTTACGAATCCGAGCGAACGAAGAACGATACCGATAAGAATCTCCACTTTACACAATCGCTAAATCACGAAATATAATTTAAAATCGCTGGCGGGAATCTTTCTCCGCCGCCGCCGCCGCGTCCCGTCCCTGAGATCCCGCTTATATCCCCCGCGGTTCATTTGGGAAATTCATTCGCGTTGAAGGTGGGAAGGAGGAGGGGGATAAAAATCTTGGCGTATCTCATTATTCCGCTTAAGGAAATATAAAATATCGCGGATCGTTTGTAGGAAAGTCTACAAGAGACGGTGCCAAAAGCAGACGCGGCACTTTTTCTTTTTTCTCTCCCCTTCCCCCTCCCTCCGCACCCGGTTCCCCCCGTCTCCTCCCTCCCCCGGCTATCCTCTTTTTTTCACGACAATTAAGCTTAACGAGCCGCTGTTTGCCGGACATATTTGAGGCGGCTTCCCACTTATTAGCGCCGGCACGGCGCTAACTCTCCGCTCGTAACACCGCGCATGTTTGCTCGCTACATACTGACGACGATGGTTCCGACCAAAGGCGGCGACGATGATGACAACGACAACGACAACCATGGTGACGACTAACAACCAGGAATGCTCCTAACTGCTTCCTCCTACCTCCTCGTTTATGCTCCTATGAAGGAAGAGTGGACATTTGGACCTTTGAATTTGTGTTAATTTAGATATGGATCGTCGTGATTCGCGTGATCGAAGTACATGTCTCTTCTTCGTTTTGGGAAAAGAAACGTTTCATTTTTTCTAAATCTGTTGTGCGTAATTTAAATATATATATTTGGACCTTCGAATTTGTGTTAATTTAGATATGGATCGTCGTGATTCGCGTGATCGAAGTATATGTCTCGTTTTGGAAAAAGAAACGTTTCATTTTTTCTAAATCTGTTGTGCGTAATTTAAATATACATATTTTTAAGGCGAAAAGAGAATACGTTATGACAAAATATCCTTTAATATCCTTTTCGATCTTGTCCAGTTTTGGAGAAGAAAAGGCACGAGGATCAGATTTCATTTTTTTTTTTTTTTAAATAATATTGCGGATAATCTCGATTGATAATATCGAAAAATTGAAACGAAGCGACGTTTCGTATCGTTGTTGAAAAATTAAAAAAAAAAAAGAAAATTCACGGGAGGACGTGGAGGTGGTATCGCTTATCGATATCACGCGGTGGTAATTTAATCGCGATCCATTTGTCGATAAAGGGCCCCGGCTCGCGAGGAAACAATGTCCTTTGTTTCTGTTTACTCGGCGTCCTGTGCACGTTCGCGCGACACAAAATATATTATACACGCACGCGCGGCATGCTCGGCAAACAGGCGTCATTTGCATACGCGGCTCTTTAGCTCGCGCTTAATTAGGAAAACGCGACGCATCCTATCTCTGTCCCCGCTTCTGCGCGCCCTCCTACGCGCGCGTCTCGACGAGACGCTTCATCCAGTCGTCTCTCGAGTACCGACCGATTTATCTGCCCGACGTAGACCGTGATTGCGGACGACAAAGGATAAACGGGTCTTCCGCGTTAAGCGGAAATCGTTGTGGCAACGCAGATAATTCAATGAAAAAAAAATGAAGAATAGTAAAGAATCAATTGCTCCAATTTACATCCTCCAATTCCTCCTCGATCATCTTCGAGTTACTTGAATTCTCTCCGATACGTAATAGCCAATTTCCGTCGATCGATTCTAATTCGTTCATGTTCGATAGATCCACTTTGATCAACTTGCATCGATCTTCTCGGTCCAGGTTTTATCTCGCATCGATCGAAATTACATCGATCTTCCATTCGGTTCAATCGTCTATGCTCGAAACTAGCATAGCGATTCGCTTTGACCAATTCCAACATGAAACTCCATTCGCTTCGTTTCCAACATTGACACGATTTACTTTGTGCCATCCTGTACGAATCTAACTCACGATCCTCTACGATCTAATAAAAATTAGCCTTTATTTTATTCGTTCGAATTTAGAGCACCCTCCATCCGAATGGTGGCCGGTATGTGGTGGTTTTTCACCCTGATAATGGTCTCCTCTTACACCGCCAACTTGGCCGCCTTCCTCACAGTTGACAAGATGGACAATCCGATCAAAGGTGTCGAAGATCTCGCTAAGCAGACAAAAATCAAGTACGGGGCCGTGGCTGGTGGATCCACGTCCACTTTCTTCAGGGTGATTTTCGATGCGATACTTCAACGATTCGAAAACATCAATTTGGGTAATTAATTGATTGAAAATAATCGTTTTCAAGGATTCCAATTATTCCACCTATCAACGCATGTGGGCTGCCATGCAGGAAGCGAGGCCGAGCGTGTTCACCAAGAGCAACGACGAGGGTGTCGATCGGGTGTTGAAGAAACGCGATTACGCTTTCCTCATGGAATCCACCACGATCGAGTACAGAATGGAGAGGAACTGCGATCTCGACAAGGTCGGAGGTCTGATCGATAACAAGGGATACGGTATCGCGTTGCCGCGAAGTAAGCTCGACCAAATTTCCATTTCATATTCCAATTTCTTTGGAAATACTTTGAAAAGAAAAATCGCGATTCTTTCTTCCAGATTCACCGTATAGAACGCCCATAAGCAGGGCGATACTGATACTGCAAGAGAAAGGGGTTCTCCAAGATCTGAAGAAGAAGTGGTGGGAGGAGCGAGGCGGTGGTTTGTGCTCGAAAACCGAAGTGGAGCCGACGTCGTCCAGCGAATTAGGATTGGCCAACGTCGGTGGTGTGTTCTTGGTCCTCCTGATCGGATGTTGCGGCTCGTTCATCATCGCCGTCTTTGAATTCCTGTGGAATGTACGAAAGGTCGCCGTGAAGGAGAAGGTGAGCCCCCTCTTTCTCTTCCCGCTGCACCGTTATCTCACCCTTGGATCTCTTTTACCCCGAAACCGAGTGATAAATATTCCTCCGTGTCGCGTGCATAGAAAAGCGAAGGAATAATTCTTCCTTATAAAGACCGCCTTTAAATTCTCCCTTCCCCAAGGGAAGACAAATCATAATCGTTCCTTTTATTTTTATTTCCATCTCTTCTTCCTTTTTTCCTTTTATTTTATTTCCCTTTCTTAACCGTATAGAGGTTAGAAATTTTTTAATTAAAATTCTAATAACAGTTTTATATCATCGAATTTGAGCGGCGAACATGGAATTAACGAATAACAGAAGGGGGGAGAGAGAGCCGTGATCATATTTCGTCGGCGTGTTGTTGCAGGTTACACCATGGGAGGCGCTGGTAGCAGAATTGAAATTCGCCGTGAATATTTGGGCGGAGACGAAACCCGTTAAAATCTCTAAAAGCAGCGGCACGAGTTCGATGGAGGATGGGATCGGTCGGGCTGCGTCCACGGCCCGCTCAATCGTCGGCTCGTTCCTCCGCCTCGACATCCTCGACAAATTCGATAAAGATAACAGTACCAACAACCGCAATAACGATCGCAAGATCAATTAAAATTCCATCCACCATTGTACTATTACTACACCGATTAACATCGTTACGTTTAACAAATTGGAAATTGGGCGAGTTCACGCTTCCTCTTTTAGATCATTCGCCGATTTTTTTCAAACGTCGAAGCACGAAACGCAGTATAATTCTATTTTCTATGAATATCGAATTAGCGATTTAATTTCATTTTTTCTAATCGCGACGTTCATTTATTCTTCTTATTATTGAATTGAAGTGTAAGCGTTAATCGAGAAAAAAATAAGATAAGATTTGTTTCTGTTATTGGAAAAGAAAAGATTATTTAGATCAAGATCTATCTTTTTCCTTTTCTCTTTTCGAACTTTTAGTAATTTTTAATAAACTTCCTTCGTGTCTAATCGTGGAACGAAATAAATAAAAATCGTACAATTAAACCGATTAGAAATCTTCTTCGCTCGTACCACGATCAATAATATTAATGATAAATAAAAGATGGAAGGAAAAAGAATTCGTCGGATAATTTGAAAGGCGAGCGACGAACGAAAAAAAAAAGGAAAAAAAAGAAGAAAAGAAAATCTTCTTTCTCGTGCCACCGCGCATAAAGTCGTCAAGTCTTCTATGATGGTCGCAAAATGGCGACGTCATGGAACGGCAGAAATCTCCGCTGTAGGTCCGTAGATCCGTAGGAAAGGAATCCAACAATATTTGGACTCCGGTCACAATGGCGCTAACGAACCGTGGCCTTGGTTTAGAAGATTTTCGTCCCGAGAGATCAGCTGCGGGATCGCCCATGTGTACCAGTACCCCCCGAGTGCCGGCATCTTTGTGTCATTATTATCGAGGGACGTTTCTAACCGTTTCGATCGCCGTCGACAACACACTTTTAACTTTACCGCCACTTTGTCGCCAGCGTCGAAGCCAACTCGACGATGGTACAACTGGTAAGCGACCTGAGATGATCTCGTGATTGATTCGATCGATCCATCTCTCCTTCGTATTTTCATCTCTTTTGGAAAACTTGGGGAGCGTTTATTTAAAGCGACGCGTTGGTTGACGCGTAAAAGGTTCGATGTGAGGTTCGAATCCGTCGATTTGTCAAAGATTTCTGACGAATAAAGATTCGTTTGTTCGTTTTCTTCGGCATGCTCTTGAATCGTGTTTTTAATTAATTGATTGTTTAATAAATGGGTAGATTCGTCTGCAAAGAAACTGAAGAGAGAATAATAGATTAATAGAATAATAGTTAATCTTCACGATTGCACGACTTACATTCAATTAGGATTTCTATCATGAAGCGAGGAAGAGTTTAGCTTGAATATCCTTAATCCTCGAGAAAGACACTTTCCATCTTTCTTCGAAGAAATTTCTAGAGGTTTCCAATCTCCTTCGGTCGTTTTGGAAAATATTGGGTAAGTAAATTTACGAATACCACGCCTTATCGCGTTTAAAAACCTGGGAAAGAATTTTATCCGCTCGAAACGCATTAAGACGAAGCCTGTTCACGAGGGACGAGGCTCGAGAAATATAGGAAGTTTTAATTCGAGGAAGGCGGAAAGTCATCGAGGTTAATTAACACGAGCGTCACGAGCGAAAAGATTCCGAGGTATGAAGTCATACACGAGGTTGTCTACCGGTGGTTTTGATGATAAAGGTGTAAGGACATCGATTAATACTTCGTTTTCATAGCGGCAATAAAAGTTGGTAACACGATTACGGTGAACGTTTACGGGAGCCGAACGAGCTGTTAACTGTACGGTATTTTTGCCACGGGACGTTCATAATCGCGACCGTTTCATGAAACGAAACTTTCGTCTTTTTTTTTCTTTACGGCTGCCTCTTTTACGAGCCACGCGTGTTTAGACCCTGATATGGTGGCGGCCGTTATTGCCAACTAAACTGTTGCGTGTCACGCTTCTAACCGAGCATACCGAATGTTTCCGAGCCGAGTTTGCTTATTTCGCGATATTAAAAAAGAAAAGAAAAAAAAAGAAAAGAGGAATTTAAGTGGATATGCGAAAGTTGTTTCCTACCTCAATACCGTTGCATCAACGGTACGTTAAATTAATTAGCATTCCAAATAAAATTCAAGTTATTACCTTTTCGTCCGATTTTATTATATTGCCTCGATCTTACCGATTCGAAAAAGTCAATAATCAGACAGATATACATGCGATGTAACATCGTTATACGATAATCACGCTTCTATTAAGGACTTCGTATATTTCTCGTTTCTTTTCCAACTCGATTCCAATATTCCTCTTTAATCATTTTATTCTCCCTCATCCATTTCACCAATTTCTTAGCGTTCAATTAAAGTATTAACCTCCTCTTAAATTAAACTCGAGTACGGTGATATTGAGATAAAAAAAATGTCATTCGCTTCCCCAATGGTGTAACGATTAGTGAAATTTGCGCGCGATTTAAAACGCGGGTATTAGGAAATTCGGATTAACCGGGGGAGGGGATTACCTCTTAATAGACGTCGGGGATAAATCGTTTCGAGGAGTTAATTAAGTTTTATAGTGCGCGGTTCCGTCCGTCCACTTACGCAGGTGTACAATACGCCGCGTTATCCACGGATATATCTTCATCCCCGAAAAAAACCCTCCTCCGATGGTGCCCGCGTCACGGCGATCTTATCTCGTTGTCGCGGCGAAGAAACAACAGATGCACGAAATCACGACGGCCCTTCCTCCCGAGATCTACCCCGGCCGGCTCCCGTGGCCCTCGTACCTGGTTTACGAGCGTGGCGAATTTCAAATAGGATCGTAAAACCGTGTCCTCGCGTTCGACCGGCCATTTCGGACCTCGTTGTCTCGCGTATCACGGATAGAGAACGTGACATCGATTTCGAATGTGAGTTTAAACGAATAATATCTCCTCGATAAACGATCGGATGTGAACGTTTAAACAGATGTGAAAATTGCAAGTAGATTACTTTTCACTCCTCTTTCTTCTTTCGTTTTACGATTAATCCACTCAATTCGATTCTAACTGCAGCGAGATGATCGAGTTCCTTCTCCAAACTTGATTGCTCCTTAAAGAACACATTCTTGTTGTTTGACAAAATATGTTAAACGTGAATGAATTAATTTAAATTTTAACACGCGTCTAACTAAGTCGCTATTAATATACACTTTCTCGAAAATTATCCCATCCTCTTCCAATCTTGACACCTCTCGACGACTCTTTCTCTCTCTCTCTCCCTCTCTCAGGTATAACCCGAGGAAGCTCTGTACGATTGGAACCGTGGCGAGATTCGCGAGATGGTCGGCATACCGATCGGTCCGCGAGGAGGCTGTCCGCATAAAATCCGAAGGTGTTAAGCAAGGGGAGGCGCGCATGGAAGCTGGGACGGTGGTTGTCTCAAAGGGGGAACCGCGGCCGGCGCTCGGTCGCCGCCTCGTAGGAATTGAAATTGATTTCGGTCCACTTCCATTACTCAAAGAGGACCGGGGAACAAGCACCGACAAAAGTCAGAGGACCGATCCTGCGTGGATAAGGGAGGGAGGGGAAGGGAGAGGGGGCTTGCACCCGTGGCCAGGGCCCGACCAACCGGCCCCTGTTGTGGAGCGGAGGCTGTGCTTCCAGCCCCCGGGATTCCTGGCGAGTTTGAACAGCGGGAGCGGGTGAGGAGGGAGTCGAAGATTTTTCTGACCTTTCTCTCCTCTCTCGAAGGGCGCCCTTCCGGCGTCGAATCAATTTTCACCCCCTCGCGGAGCAGAGTCGAGACGAAACGAACGAGGCAAAGGAGGGTTCGAAGTTCCTAGTTCGAAGGATGGTTCTTATTTTGAAGGATTGGGCATTATCGATCGATGAATTGTTTATCTTGTTAATAGAGCTGGGGGTTAATGATTTATGCAGAAATCTTAAAATTTAGAGCGTTAATCCTTCATGGTTAAGGGATACATCGAATTATCATATTTAAAAATTAGATAAATAAAAGTATGGAAGGAGGGAGGATATTTTGTATAAATATCAATTATAATTTTCTTGGAATTTCAAGTTTTTCGAGAAATTCCTTTATTCTGTACATCTTTGCGTTTCAAAGGTGCATCCAACGAATCCCTCTCCCCCTGTCACCTTTATCCCCCTTCATCGCGAAGAATTCTCCTCGTTGACGAGAGAAGGAAAGTGAGTTTCGTAGCGTGTGTTCGTTCACTAGGAATTCCCGATGGACTCGTCAGATTTCTCCATTGTGTCACCGCCCTTTATGACTGACGACGGCAGTCGTCGGAGAAGCGAGGACCACCCGGTAGGCACCGCTCCACGACTTCCGGAATCTTTCTATACTTGGGCTTCTCGGTAAGGGAGTTGGACTGTGCTTCGGGGAAGCCTACCTGCCGGAATCGTCGGGGGATTCAAGAAACTTTCGCTCGAATTCGTGAGTGCGCGGCCGTTATATCGGTACACCAACCTTTCGACGAAACGGACAACGAACCGAGAGGCACGAAGGAAGAACTCGAGAGAACTCGCTCCAGCTTTATTTTCCTTTCTTTGTCAGTCGCGGCCAATCGTATAAACTACCTTTCGTCCCGTTGATTACTTTGCGAAATGAAAAATGTTCGTTCCTTTGCTCCTCGTGGAAAAAAAATGTGAATCAACGACGAAATGAAAATCACGCTGCCGTCCGCTATTACTCTTCCACCGCCAATTATGTTTCTCTCCGCTAAGGATCGTTGAAATTGAACTATCCGTATTGTAACATTGATAGAAAAAGTTAAACGAGATCTCGTTAAAAATTAATTATTTGACCTCGTGATTAGAGTTTCGATATGAAGTCGATATCAAACAATTTGAGCTTTAATGGAACCAGAGTTCCATTAACCGGAACCTCGCGAAACGATTTCCGAAAGTTAAACATAATATATAGAAACGTTAAATTTAGCATAATGACAAATTGATATTCTCGCGGTGGAATACGAAGAGAAAGCGCGAAATTATGTATTAGTTTCAACGTATCTCTCGAGTATCAAAGTTTCCGACCAAATGTATGGATAATGAAGAATCACGTTCGCATAATCCATTTTCGATGTCCCAACAAATAATTTTCCACGTATTCGTCGCAAAGGGGACGGTTGCATCGACTTTTGCGTCGAATCGAAATACGTTCGTAGGTGTTGGAAATGCTTGGGGCCAATGATGTTGTTCCTCTCCGGGAACAGAAGG